TCCTTCCATGAAGCTCTCCACGCACTTTGTGCTCATCTAAATCCACACCAAGTTCTCTACTTTTGACTCTGTTGTTCCCAGTTACTTCCACTTTGTTATAATCCCACTAACAGATGAGCGTGGAATATTTAGTAGCAGGAAATGTCACGGATGGACTTATTGCACAGAGTGACCACCTATCACGGGACCACGCTTGGAGTCACTGAGGCTCTGAGAGCGAACCATTCTTTCACCAATGTTTGTAGAAGCAGTCCTGCATGCCTAGGGGCTTGATTGTATACACCTGTGGCCATGGAGGTGATTGGAACAGCTGAATCACATGATTTGGAGGGCGGGCCCAATACTTTTGGCAATTAAAGTGTTTTCTTCATGGCCGGCTGGGGAATGTTTTCTTCCTCCTGACCAGCAATGTAAGGGGCTCTATGCTCCATACTCCTGACCCCGGCACTCACTCATTGTGTTGGCTGCATAGTGTAATGATTGCCCATTGGGCTGCCTGTGTAGTGTCATCATTGCCCTTTGTAGGCCATGTCATGGGTCAGGATGAGTCCTTGTACTTGTCTATTTATTGTCAGTGCTGTTTGTTTAGAGGACCATATTACTAGATTTATCTCCACAATGAGGAGAATGTTCCGACCCGGAAGTGGGGGAATGTTCTGCCCCTGAAGGGGTTACATATAGTTACATATAGTTTAATTGGTCATCTGATTACATATAGTTAGTCTGGCTGAAAAAAAAGTCCATCCAGTTCAACCATAAAATAAAAAAAAAATTATAAACAGTTGATCCACAGGAAGGCAAAAAACCCACCAAAGCATGATCCAATTTGCCTCCCCCGAGAGGCAATCAGATATTTCCTGGATCAACTTTACCTATAAACGTTATATCCAGTTATATTCCGTGTATCCAAGAAAGAATCCAGGACTTTCCTACAGCAATCCACTGAGCTGGCCACAACCAACTCTTGAGGAATCTATTCCACATTTTCACAGCTCTTACTGTGAAGAAACCTTTCCATATTTGGAGATTAAATCTCTTTTCCTCCAGACATCAAGAGTGCCCCCTTGTCCTCTGTGATGACCTCAGGGGAATAACTCTACACTGAGTTTCACTATATGAAACACTGATGTAATTTATACATGGAGATCATATCCCCCCCTTATGTATTATACATGGAGAATCATACCCCCTTATGTATTATACATGGAGATCATATCCCCCCTTATGTATTATACATGGAGATCATATCCCCCCTTATGTATTATACATGGAGATCATATCCCCCCTTATGTATTATACATGGAGATCATATCCCCCCATGGAGCTCATTATGTATTATACATGGAGATCATATCCCCCTTATGTATTATACATGGAGATCATATGTATTATACATGGAGATCATATCCCCCCTTATGTATTATACATGGAGATCATATCCCCCCTTATGTATTATACATGGAGATCATATCCCCCTTATGTATTATACATGGAGATCATATCCCCCTTATGTATTATACCCCCCATATGGAGATCATATCCCCCCCTTATGTATTATACATGGAGATCATATCCCCCCTTATGTATTATACATGGAGATCATATCCCCCCTTATGTATTATACATGGAGATCATATCCCCCTTATGTATTATACATGGAGATCATATCCCCCTTATGTATTATACATGGAGATCATATCCCCCTTATGTATTATACATGGAGATCATATCCCCCTTATGTATTATACATGGAGATCATATCCCCCCTTATGTATTATACATGGAGATCATATCCCCCTTATGTATTATACATGGAGATCATATCCCCCCTTATGTATTATACATGGAGATCATATCCCCCCTTATGTATTATACATGGTGAGATCATATCCCCCTTATGTATTATACATGGAGATCATATCCCCCCTTATGTATTATACATGGAGATCATATCCCCCCCTTATGTATTATCCATGGAGATCATATCCCCCCTTATGTATTATACATGGAGATCATATCCCCCCTTATCATGTTGTATTATACATGGAGATCATATCCCCCTTATGTATTATACATGGAGATCATATCCCCCCTTATGTATTATACATGGTGATCATATCCCCCCTTATGTATTATACATGGTGATCATATCCCCCCCTTATGTATTATACATGGAGATATCCCCCCTTGTATATACATGGAGATCATATCCCCCCTTATGTAATTATACATGGAGATCATATCCCCCCTTATGTATTAATACATGGAGATCATATCCCCCCCCACCCCGCATTATGTATTATACATGGAGATCATATCCCCCCTTAATCCTCTTCTCAGTAGAGAATACATTCAGTTCCTCTAATATTTCCTCATAGCTGATCTCCTCCATGCCTCGTATCAGTTTGGTTCCCTTCTCTGTAACTTCCTCCAGTTCCCCAATGTTCTTTATGTGAATTGGAGCCCAAAACTGAACTGTATATTCCAGATGAGGTCTTACTAATGATTTGTACCGGGAAGGGGGAATGATATCTCTCTCTCTGGAGTCTATACCTCTCCTAATCACAAGAGAGGATGTTGCTCGCTTTAGAACCCGCAGCTTGGCATTGCTGCCATTATTAAGCCACAACACCCCTAGACCATTCAGAGTATGAATCATTAACCACTACTCTCTGAATATGATCTTTTAGCCAGTTTTCTATCCATTTACATTCAGATTTTTCCAAGCCCATAGACTTTACCTTACACATTAGCCCGTGTGTGGGGAGCTGTGTCAAACGCTTTTGCAAAATCCAAGTTTACCACGTCCACCGCCACCCCTCTGTCCAAGTATACCACGTCCACTGCCAAGCCTCTGTCCAAGTATACCACGTCCACCGCCACCCCCTCTGTATTAAAAGTATACCACGTCCACCGCCACCCCTCTGTCCAAGTATACCACGTCCACCGCCACCCCCTCTGTCCAAGTATACCACGTCCACCGCCCCCCCTCTGTAAAAAAGTATACCACGTCCACCCACGCCACCCCTCTGTCCAAGTATACCACGTCCACCGCCACCCCTCTGTCCAAGTATAACCACGTCCACCCGCCACCCCTCTGTCCAAGTATACCACGTCCACCGCCACCCCTCGTCCAAGTATACCACACGTCCACCGCCCACCCCTCTGTCCAAGTATACCACGTCCACCGCCACCCCTCTGTCCAAGTATACCACGTCCACCGTCACCCCTCTGTCCAAGTATAACTGTTCCACGTCCACCCGCCACCCCACTCCTCTGTCCAAGTATACCATGTCCACAGCCACCCCTCTGTCCAAGTATACCATGTCCACCGCCACCCCTCTGTCCAAGTATACCACGTCCACCGCCACCCCTCTGTCCAAGTATACCACGTCCACAGCCACCCCTCTGTCCAAGTATAACCACGTCCACAGCCACCCCTCTGTCCAAGTATACCACGTCCACAGCCACCCCTCTGTCCAAGTATAACCATGTCCACAGCCACCCCTCTGTCCAAGTATACCATGTCCACAGCCACCCCCTCTGTCCAAGTATACCACGTCCACAGCCACCCCCCCTGTCCAAGTATACCACGTCCACCCCTCTGTCCAAGTATATACCACATCCACCCCTCTGTCCAAGTATACCACGTACACAGCCACCCCTCTTCCAAGTATACCACGTCCACCCACCACCTCTCTGTCCAAGTATACCTCGTCCACACCACCACCCCTCTGTCCAAGTATACTACGTCCACCTCCACCCCTCTGTCCAAGTATACCACGTCCACAGCCACCCCTCTGTCCAAGTATACCACGTCCACAGCCACCCCTCTGTCCAAGTATACCACGTCCACAGCCACCCCTCTGTCCAAGTATACCACGTACACAGCCACCCCTTACAATATTTGTTTCCAGCAAGAACTCATCTCTGTGGTCTTTTATTAAACTCTCCAGTATCTTCCCAACTATAGAAGTTACACTAACAGGTCTATAATTACTTGGGAAAGATTTTGTCCCCTTTATAAATAGTGGCCCCCACATTGGCCTTACACCAATCCAGTGGTACTATGCCAGTCATTAAAGAGTCCCTAACAATGAGAAACAATGGCTGTGAGATGACAGAGCTGAATTCTTTAAGGCCCCGTGGGTGTCTGCCATCCGGTCCAGGGGCTTTATTCACCTTTATTCTGTCTAAATATTTCTGGATCATATCAATTGTGAGCCAATGTGGATCATCTGGGGGGTGTCAGTACCATCCCCCATTATGGACAAGAGCCCCCCCATGTTCCTTTGTATACACAGAGCTGAAGAAGGGATTTCATACATTGTCCTTCTCTTTGTCCCCAGTCACCCCTCTAGATGGTTCTGTAAAGGGTTAATCTGGGTTCCCACACTATATATGTGTGTATCATCATCTGCTGGAGATAAAAAGACGTCACAGTGACTATGGAGGAAGAGGACGGACGTGACTATGGAGGAAGAGGACGGACGTGACTATGGAGGAAGAGGACGGACGTGACTATGGAGGAAGAGGACGGACGTGACTATGGAGGAAGAGGACTGACGTGACTATGGAGGAAGAGGACGGACATGACGGGGGGGGGTTACTGGGTGTAAATAGGAAATAACATCTCATTACCTCCTCTGCTGCCACTTCCACCAACCTCTCCTCTCTTCGTCTTGCCTGTACTGACATCACTTCCTGTTTGTACCTGACATCACTTCCTGCCTGTATTCCTTCAAGACCTTCTGTTTATGTATACCCGAGATCACCATCTTGTGGATTTCTGAGGAACTGCAGCCCCAACAATTCCTGTAAACAATTACAATTCCCGTATTATTATTATTATTAAACAAGGATTTTCTACTACCTTACATGAAAGATCAAAAATAACTAAAACAAAAAGTAAGAACAAACAAATCTAGCTCTTATGCAAACAACCGTTTAACAAAATTATTTTAGTACATATAGAAAAATCTTAAAGACACAGAAAACAAGTTAAAAACAAAGGTATACCCAATAAAACAGAAACCCCTCCAAAAACTGATTATTTTTGGTGAAGAAAATGCAAAAAAAAAATACACCCTAAAGCATAAAATATATATCAATCCACTCATAATGAGGATGTTAGACATAAATGACAAGGATGAATGGTCACATAGGAATGGTGGTGGAGATCTCTCAAGTAAGAAACACTTCCTTGAATGGTTCTATAAATAAAGAATGAATCCTGGAGGGAATAAAGCTGTAAAGCAATAAATAATATATAAACTGGGCCATCCACTTCATCCATAAAGACATTGTGATTGAAGATCTTCTAGATCACATAGAAGGAGGACTCATCCATGATTTCATACATTTGTTTGGAAGGATAGAACAATCCTCAGAAGGGAACATGTAGGATGACAGGAAAGGCTCCTGACTGGTGAGATCCTCCAAACATAATGATGACATCCATGAACTGGAGCGAGCTCGTTGGGGTGATAAAGCCAATCTGGAAACACTGTGTAGACGTTCTCCAAGAACTCAGCACACTCCAGGTGTGGAGAAAGTCTCCAGGTGGGTTAGCCTGTCATTTATCATAGGTAGAAATGTCCACACATGGACATTATTATTATTATACAGTATTTATATAGCGCCAAAAAGTTTGCTCAGCTGTACATTATAGTGGGGGACAGTACACGAGACAATACAGTAACAATAAAATACATGAGGGGTTCGAGGGCCCTGCTCCTTGGAGCTTACAATCTAGGAGGGAGGGGATAGTGGCACAGGAGGAAGTGGCTGTGGGGGATGGAGTGGTAGGAGGAGTGGAGGAGATCGGCTGTTAGGTGAAGTTGGGGTAGGCTTCCCTGAAGAGATGGGTTTTCAAGGGTGCGCCTCAAGGTAGGAGGGTAGGTGACAGTCTGATAGATTGGGGTAGTGAGTTCCAGAGGATGGGGGGGAAGACCTGGAGAAGTCCTGGAGTCGGGATGGGAGGAGGAGACCAGGGAGCTAGCGAGTAGGAGGTCTTGTGAGGAGCGAAGAGTACGGGTTGGGTGGTATTTGGATATCAGGTCGGTGAGGTAGTTTGGGGCAGTATTATGAATAGCTTTGTACATCAATGTTAGTAGTTTGAATTTTATGCATTGGACAATCACAAAGCCAGTGGAGGGAATGACAGAGGGGGGTGGCAGATACGGAGCGGTTAGTAAGGTGGATGAGTCTGGCCGCTGAGTTCAGGATAGACTGAAGCGGGGATAGTCTGTGATGAGGCAGGCCAGTGAGAGGGAGTTGCAGTAGTCCAGATGTGAGATAATAAGGGAGTGAACGAGTTGTTTAGTAGTCTCTGGGGTTAGGAACAAATGTATTTGGAGATGTTGCGGAGGTGGAGTCTGCATGAATTTGCCAGTGATTGGACCTGGGGCTGGAAGGATAGATTGGAGTTCTAGAGTGACACCTAGAACTTTGGCTTGCGGGGTGGGACTGATGGTGGTGTTGTTGGTCGTGATGGAGAGGATGGGGGATGGGGGGGCTAGGAGCTCGGTTTTTGGACAGGTTTAATTTGAGGGAAGTGGAGTGACATCCAGTCTGATATGTCGTTCAGTAGGCAGGCGATTTGGGCAGAGACTGAAGGGGTGAGGTGAGGGGGTAGAGAGGTAGATTTGCATTATAATCGGCGTAGACGATGGTAGTTGAAGTCGTGGGAGTGTATCAGTTGGCCAAGGGAGGGGAGGAGGTGTAGATGGAGAAGGGGAGCCTGAGGACAGAGACCTTGGGGGACCCCAACAGAGAGGGGAATAGAGGGGAGGTGGTAGCGTTATAGGTAACACTTAAGGAGCGCTGGGATAGATAGGAGGAGAACCAGGAGAGAGCGTAGTCCCTGATGCCAAGGGAGTATAGTTTTTTAAGGAAGAGGGGTGTGGTCAACTGTGTCGAAGGCCGTGGAGAGGTCGAGGAGTAGGAGGACTGAGTAGTGGCCATTAGCTTTGGCAGTTAGCAGGTTGTTGGTGAGTTTAAGTAGGGTGGTTTCTGTGGAGTGGAGTGTAGGGGACAGAAGCCACACTGTAGGGGATGAAGGAGGTTGTTGTCGGTTGACGTGGGAGCTTAGGTGATTATAGACTAAGCGCTCAAGGAGTTTGGATGTAAATGGCAGCAGGGAGATGGGACTAAGGTTGTTCAGGTCGGTGGGGTCCAGGGAGGGTTTTTTGCATATGGGAGTGATGTGTGTGCGGTCTTTAGGGGGAGGGGAATGTGCTAGTAGAGAGGGAGAGATTAAAGATGGGGTGAGGGAGCGTAGAATGGAGGAGGAGGGTGACCGGAGGAGTTGTGTAGGGATGGGATCAAGGGGGCAGGTCGTGAGGCGGGGGGCTCAGAGAAGATCTTAGGGACCGCTTCAGTGGTAGCAAGGTTGAAGGAGTGGAGTGTTGGGGGGTGTTTTTAGTGTGCGGAATGTTAGGTTGGGGCAGAGGTCTGGACGGTGGTGAGGTCATAGGGAGAGGGGTGTTGAGTGGGTTTCCATGTGAGGGATGCTAGGTGTAGTGGAAGTCTGAGCAGCGGCAATGTCCCTACGAATTTGCGTCGATCTTATTTTGGAAGTGGTTAGCAATCTCGTGGTGGTGAGTGAGTGAGGTACTGGGTGGAGGAGAGTAGGAGTTAAAACTGGAGGAAGAGACCGGAGGAGAGGGTATTGATGAGGGTTACAAAGGAGGATTGTTTGGCAGCGTATGACTACGTCATTTAAGATTTTTGTGTGGTCATTCTGCCACGGTTGAAGCGGTCGGGGTCGTGGTTAGGGTGCTAGGGAGTCAAAAGCGGCTGACAGCAAGTTGTTATAGGCAGTAGTGGCCAGGTCAGGGCAGGACAGGGTAAGGATACTGTCGTAAAGTCGGTCAGCTGCAAAGTGGAGAGGGGGCCGGGTTCAGGTTGCGGAGGTTACGGCTGGTGATGGTTTGACGTTTGGGGGGAGGTGTTTTGAGGATGGGGGTAGATGGAGAACGTAATGAGGTTTTGGTCCAGAGAGAGGGAAAGGGGTGTTTGTGAGGTTGTGGGGGTACAGAGATAAGAGAAAACAAGGTCCAGGGTGTTTTTCCGTCAGAGTGGGTGGAGGACTGTGTGCACTGTGTGAGTGCAAAAAAAGAGTTAGGTGGAGGAGTTGGGATAGCCGGGTTATTGATGTTGATAGGGAAATTGAAGTCTCCAAGGATGATGGTGGGTAGCTCTGAGGAGAGGAAGAAGGGTAACCAGGTGGAGATATCATTCAGGAAGCGGGATAATGGGTTTCAGGAGGCCGATAGATTACTGCAATCCTCAAAGGGGTATGAAGAGAATAGCTGGATGCAGTGGGGCCTCAAGGAGAGAGAAGGATAGAGAGGGGGGGGTTTTGTGAGGACATGGAAGGTGCTCAGTGCTGACAAGAGCATGCCAACCCCACCACCTCTACAACTGCTCGGTCTGGGTGAATGGGTCCAGACGAGACCTCCATAGGAGAGTGTGCTGCAGAGAGTCAGTGGCTTGGATCCAGGTTTTGGTGACCACTAGGAGGTTGAGGAAGCGGGAGATAAAGAGGTCATGGATGGTGGTTGAGCTGTTGCAAACCGAACCGGGCATTCAGGAGATGCACACGAGAATGGAGGGTGGTGTTGTGGAGCAGGGGGACAGGTATTAGGTTGAGGGGGTTCAGCAG